GCGCCCCCCCCACCAAGCCACTTCCTCTGCTGTGGGTTCATTTGCCTTGGTAGATCACAGTGTGCAGTCTTTGTGTCTGGCTTCTTTAGAGCAACATGCTGTTTTGGAGAGTCCCCAATGCTGTTTCTGCATGCTGCTCATTTATTTTAATGGCAGAGTAGTACTCTGCTCTATGGGTGTGCAATTCATTCATCCATTCTCCTCTCAGCAAGTGTGCTCGGGCCGTTTCCAGATTTCTGCCACCAGGAACAGACTGCTGTGAACAGGATTTAAGAGTCCCTCTGTGGACTCGTGTATAGGACCTCCTGCTACATACACCTAAGGGTGGAGCAGAATATATCCAGTGTGGGGTGTGGTGGTGCATGCCTTTAATCCAGTCCTGCAGCCGTTCAGTCAATAAACACACAGAGGCTTATATTAATTACAGAATGTTTGGCCAATGGCTCAGGCTTCTTATTGGCTAGCTCTCTCTTAACTATTAACCCATTTCTAGTAATCTATGTATCTCCACGTGGCCTTGGCTTACCAGAGAATGCCCAGAGTTCTATCTTCCTGGTAGCTACATGGTATCTCTCCCAGGACTCACTCTCTGCCTTCCTCCTCCCAGAATTCTCCTAGTCTGGTATTCCCTTCCTGCCTGGCTCCATCCTGCCTGTCCATTAGCCAAAACAGCTTAATTTATCAACCAATGAGAGAGACATATATTTACTGCATACAGAAGGACATCCCTATCAGCAGAGGCAGGAAGAGCTCTGTGAGTTTGAGGCCAGCCTGGTTTACATAGGCGTTCCAGCCAGTGATACATAGTGAGACATTGTCTAGAAAGAAAAAAAAAATTAAGGTAGGCATGGTGGCACATAGCTATAAAATGTCAGTGGAGGCAGAAGGATCATGAGGGCAAGACCAGCCTGGGATGCATAAGTGGGCTTACAACCATTTTGGAAGACAGACAGACAGACAGGTTTTTTTGTGGGTTGTTTTTCATAATAACTAAAAGAATGTGTGACCGGAGAGATGGCTCAGCAGTTGAGGGCATCGGCCAGTCTTCCCAGAAGAATGGAGTTTGGTTCCCAGCACCCATGTTAGGCAACTCACAACTGTCTGTAACTCCAGCTCCAGGGGACCCGACACCCTTTTCTGGCCTCTGCCAACTTGAGAGACATTTCCAGGTCACAGAGCCAACAGAACGGCAATAGGCTCTCCAAGAGGATTTATGTACATTTCTAGGGAGAAAGAACTCACTATTTTCAGTTCTCCAGAATAAATGCTCAAAGACACAGAAAGGCAAAGCAATGAGAGGAGAGAAGTCGGCTTGGCTTTCTGGTCTGGACCTCGAGGTCACCTGACAGCCCCAGACATTGGCTGCCACACCCAACGCTTGCTTTCGGCCAGAATCAAACCTCATTTAATCTGCATGCATACAGTCTACAAATGGTTGGCTTGTTTGTTAGGTGGTGGTTTGGGGAATAGAATCCAAGGCATCCAGCGCACTGAGCCATGCCCCAGCCTCCGTATGCCTCTCAATACAATACTCATAAAAACAAACCTCCGGGTCTCAGCTCTCCACCGGGAGCCCAGACTTGGGCATAGGTGAGGGCTGGAGCTGACTGTAACCAATGCAGCCTTCGGTGGAGGTGGCACACTCTAGCCACACTGGGCGTCTCCATTCCAACACAACCCGCTCTGCCTCAAGCTCATGTTTATTCACGAGGAGGCAGCTCCTGGGAAACCCACCCTTCACTTCCTCCCACTGCTGGGGTCATTGCAATCCTCCTGGCGCCCAGCACAGTCCTTAATTGACCCCTTACCTCGAAAGGCACCCAGGGTCAGGGAGGACACAAGACTGCCTTGGTGACAGGCACTGTTTTGGTCACTCATTAGCTCCAAGCTCGGCCATGACCCACACTCCGAGGCTGAGCTGATTCTCCTGTTGTTCAGTCTGAATAGACACTGTAAATGGCGCTATTCAGTCCCCGAAGCTTCCTTCTCTCAAAAACGCTACCAATCCCTCCATGTTGTTAACTGCAATTGGGTGGCTTCCCTTTCTAATTAACTCAAGTGGCCTCTTTCCTGACAATGGTGGCTATAATTACCGCTGCACTTAACTCCTGGAGGACCGTTTTAAAATTGGAGGGCGGATGGACAAGGTGACCTTTCCCACCCGCTTTTCTGTGCCTGTTTCTGAGGAAGAGAGAGACACTGCTCCCCACACGCAGCAAATCAGTTCTCGTGGTTCGGAGGCAGAGCCGGGGACCCACCTACCTTCCCTTTGTTCTCTTCAACCCCGTGCACACTGGCTGAGTCAGGGTGTTCAGGGCCAGTGAGCACGCATTTGGTGATGTGTGACATAGGGGTGGGGAGATGGTGATACTGTCATTATTTAAAATCACTTCCGCCCACCAGCTGAGTCACGGGAACGCCACTGCTTAGGATTTTGCATCAGTCTCAAAAGTATCCCTGTGCGAAGCCTCCTTCCCTGGGTGCATGCCCGGCTTCCCTCAGAGGGAGACTCTGAATCTTCCACAGAAAACACTCCCTTTGCACTGTGCTGACCTCACGATGCCGGCCAACCTGATTGCTGAGGGAGGCCAAGCAAATACCTGTACTTTCCAAGAAGATTCTAGAAGGCTAAAGATCTGGCCCCCATTTAAAAAAAGAAGTCCAGACTAGAATCTAAGGTTCCTCCCTCCTGGCCTTGCCCTGAACTGACAACAGAGGGAATAAGAAAGAACCTCTTCCCAAAATAGCATCAGTGGTAAAACAGCAGCTGGCTGAATTGACTGGATTACCCGGCATTCAACTGCACACTTTAGAACAAGCTAGAGTGCTCCCCAGACTTCAGAACAAGCTAGAGTGCTCCCCCAGAATTCAGAGCAAGCCAGGGTGCTCCCCAGACTTCAGAACAAGCTAGAGTGCTCCCCCAGAATTCAGAGCAAGCCAGAGTGCTCCGCCAGACTTCAGCACAAACTAGAGTGCTCCCCACCCCCAACATTTTTCAGATCATGAGTAATAATCAATTCCCCGATCTCCAAGTTCAAAAGGAGAGAGAGCTTCCCCAGGAAGCCCTGGCTGCTTCCCAGACCAGCACCAAGAGTCCAGAAGGAAGAGTAATTTGCCACCCGGTGGGAG